GCAAAACGACTTTGACATCAGTAATTACCCATGTTCAATCCAAGAAAAATAAGGCCAAGTCTCGGAGATATGAAGAGATCGATGCAGCTCCCGAAGAAAGAGCACGAGGAATTACTATCAAAACCGCTCACGTTGAGTATGAAACTGACACCAGACATTATGCTTTAATTGATTGTCCGGGTCACGCCGACTATATTAAAAATATGATTACAGGTGCAGCCCAAGCCAACGGCGGAATTTTAGTGATTGATGCCAGCCAAGGTAGCCAAAAGCAAACCGAGGAACACCTTCTTTTGGCAAAACAAGTGGGAGTAAAAGATATGGTCGTTTTTGCGAATAAGGTTGACGTGGTGAAAGATAAGACAAAAGATGAGGAAGAGTTTAAGGAATCGTTGGATCTAACGAAAGAAGAAATTGAAGCATTATTAAAAGAGCACGGGTTTAACGAAAGTTCCCCCATTATTTTTGGTTCAGCGAAAAAGGCGTTAGAAGGAGATGCCGAACAAGAGAAAAAAATTGAGGAGTTAATTGATGCGGTTGATAAATATATTCCGACACCACCGAGCGATGAGAGCAAGCCGTTCTTGATGTATATCGAGGACAATATGTCGATTACTGGTCGTGGGACAGTAGCCACTGGCAAAGTGGAAAGAGGAACACTTAAACCGGGTGAAGAAGTGGAAATTGTGGGAATAAACGCCGAAAAAGTTAAAACCAAAGCCACCAGTGCCGAAATGTTTCATAAGGAGTTAAAGGAAGCCAAGCCAAATTTTAATATAGGGGTTCTCCTGCAAGGCACTACCCGAGAACAAGCACCCCGCGGAGCTGCCTTAGCCAAACCGGGTAGTATCAATGCTCATAAAAAATTCGAGGCTCAAATTTACATTCTAACCAAAGATGAAGGAGGTCGTCATACCCCCTTTGAGGCTGATTACAGTCCACAATTCTATTTCTACACTTCGGACATCTCCGGCACTATCAAATTGCCAAAAGGAAAAGAACTTGTCAAGCCAGGCGATGACCTTAGTTTGGAAGTTCACCTTATTCATCCAGTTGCTATTGAAATTAATAGTACTTTCTCAATCCGAGAAGGAGGTCGGACTATCGGTAAAGGAGTAGTAACCAAAATTATTGAGTAAAAAATACGTTAATTACACTTCAATAAGTATAAATATAATTATAATAGAGGATATTAATGATTATTAATTTACTATTCTAATGAATTACGTGCAATAATAATAATATGACACCAATCGCAAAAAAAAAAAAAAACAATAAGTATTCGTTGTGGAAATATATAAGACGATTAAAATCATTAAGTACCGGGCGTTTTTTTGTGTTTTAAGTTAAAATTTAAACAAAAGTAGAAAATTTAAATCTTAAAAAAATTAATATTAAAAAAGTATCAATAAAACGCTATGTCAAATCAATTTAGTAATCAAAGGTGTAGCAAATGCTACCAAAAATATTCAGGTTTAAAAGCAACGTGTTCTGATTCTAGTTGTAACCGGGAACACCTTTTCAAAAAAAATGGACAACTTTTTTGTGTTGTGTGTTTAATGAGAGAAGGAAATATAAAATGTCAAAAATGTCGTAAATCGATAACTTGCTTAGAAGAAATGGGCAAGTGGAGAGGGAACGTGTTTTCGTCGGATGACCATACTTATGATATCAACAATTTTGGGTGTGAATGTCGCGAGTGTAACCATGGTGAAAACAAAAAAAGTAAGTTAAAACGTTGTCAGGGAACCTTTTCCGTTGATTACAACGGAGGCCACAAAGCCAAATACGGCTCCACGCAATTTAATCAATGTGATTCGGCAGTTCCGATTGACGGAGGGGATTTTTGTCAGCAATGTCAAGGTCAAACAGAAACCTACCAACAACTAAAAGTTAGATTAGATGCCGAACACAAGCGAATATTTGAAGAATACCGCCGAGCCCGGGAAAAAGCCCAAAATTGGTGGAATACTCTTTCGAGTTCCGAGTGAGAAAAAGAATTAGCGAGGGTGGTCGAAAATATGAAACTAGGAAAATACTGGGCGAATGAAACAAAAGAAGGTTCTGGTTCTGGGTGAGTCCCTGATGGTAGTTATTGATATATCAAGAACGGAAAATTAGTTTCCGATAGCCCGCATTTGGTTCCGATTCAAATCACGGATGAGTTTCTGGAAAAAGAAATTGGATTTAGGGATAATTTAGCACTAGAAATGATACATAATCAACAAATGGTAGTGAGGAAAAATAATAATGATAATAGTTCACCGTTGGCTGATAATCCTGTTTCTCCTACTCAACCACCGCAACCCGAAAATAACCAAAGTTGATTTAGCCCTAACCAGACCATTGAACCAGGAACCGACGAAAAGAACCATAATGACGGGCAAAAATCATTAGAAAATAGGGACAAGAGCGAAAAGAAAAAAATAGAAGTTGGAAATGAAAATAAGGATAATAAATTAATTATCGACTTGAAAAATGTCAAAAAAATAACGTTAAGAGAAGATGGTAAATTAGAAATTGAATTTAATAATAGTGAAAATGGTAATTATTCAATAAGCCAAATTGTAACTGACGAACAAATAAGTAATAACCAAGAACTACAAAAAATTAAAAATTATTGTCAGGAGAAAGGCAAAACGAGTCTGGAGCAGCAAGAATTAAATAGCCTTCTTTCTGTTACCACTCCGGAAAAGCCCCGTGATGGCAATAATTCTCTCTTAATAATAAGTATCTTTGGTGGGACTTTAATAGTGGGAATAGTGATTGGATTATTTTGGAGAAAGAAAAAGAGATAACAAAAAAGGGGACGTTCTGTCCCCTAATAATTAAATTAAAAAGGTTTAAAATGAAGTTTAAAAGTAAGAATTATGTTCTTGAAGAGAAAAGTTTATAAAGAGTATCCATAGGCGACATAAAAAGCCTATATGAGTAAAATATAACAAAGTTAAAAGTCGCAAAAACCCTCCTTTTGCGGCTGGCTATTCTAATAATTGAGACTTAAAAGGTTTGAATTATTAGTAAATTTTTTCAATTGTATGACTACATTATTCATTAAAAAATCTCCCCAGTCTAAATTACTGACTCTTTGTGCCATTACTAACAAGGATAAAGCCCATCCCTTGGTTGAAAAAAAGCCTTGAAAAACCACTTTAATTTCTGAGAAAAAAACTCTCTATTTATACATTGGCAAAGAAAATGAAGATTATAATTTTCTTAATCTTTACCATTTTTTTGTCAATTTTTCTGGTAATAATGAAAGAAGTTGAAATATCGATATTCAGTCTTTCATTTCGAAAAATCTGTCTGAAGAAAAAGCAATTCAAGCCATTAGCGAAGGAATATTATTTGGCTCGCATCCTAAAATAAGATTTAGTGAGAAAAAGTCATAGAGAAGAAAATTAAACAACTAAAACCAAGTTAAAAAGAAAATTTTCGACTCAAATATCTAATTTTCCTTTTCACCCTTTTTGTTGTTTTTTCGTCTTGATAATTTCGCAACACTAAATCGATTATTTTCGCAATTCGCAAAAACTCTTTTTTTCCTAATCCCCGAGTAGTCAGAGCCGGTGAACCCAGACGAATGCCACTACTAATTCAGGGCTTTTCACTATCGTAAGGTATCATTTGTTTATTGGCGACAAGACCCGCTTTTTCTAGTATGGAAGCGGCTTCCCGACCAGTTAAATTATAACTTTTTTTAGTGTCAATAACTAGCAAATGAGTCTCAGTACCGCCGCTAATCACCTTTACTCCCTTTTGGTGAAAAAAATCGGCCATAGTTTTGGCATTTTCTAATACTTTTTTTTGATACTCTTTAAATTCTGGTTGTAAAGCCTCAAAAAAACATTGGGCTTTGGCAGCAATGATCGCCAAATTTGGACCACCCTGGTTGCCGGGAAAAACAGCTTTATCTATTTTTGTTCCCAATGTTTTTTTGGCTAAAATTACGGCTCCGCGCGGCCCCCGCAAGGTCTTATGAGTGGTCGAAGTAATTATATCTGCATAAGGGACCGGACTGGGAAATAAACCTGCAGCCACTAATCCGGCTACATGGGCGATATCGGCCAACAAATAAGCCCCCACTTCGTCAGCAATTTGCCGAAATTTAGCAAAATCTATTTGTAAACTATAACTACTATAGCCAGCAATTATCAATTGCGGACGTGCTTCCTGGGCTATTTTTCTAATAGCCTCGTAATCTAACTTTTGGGTGCTAGGGTCTAAATTATAATAGTGGACTTGATAGAAAATTCCAGAAAAATTAACTGATGCTCCATGCGTCAAATGTCCGCCAGATAAAAGATTCAAACTTAAAATCTTGTCTCCGGGTTTTAATAGTGCTAAATAAACTGCTTGATTAGCTTGGGTCCCCGAATGGGGCTGAACATTAGCATGTTCGGCTCCAAATAATTTTTTTGTTAAATCAACTGCCAAATTTTCTATTCGATCAATATATTTACAGCCTTGATAATAACGATTTTTAGGATAACCTTCCGCATATTTAGTCATTAATAAGGAGCCGCTATAAAACAAAACTTCTGGAGACGGATAATTTTCACTGGCGATTAGGTTGAGAGTATTTTTTTGCCGTTTTAATTCTTGTTGGTAATAATAATTAAGGGGGGATTTGCTTTTCATTTTCACCATTTATAATATTTTACAGGATTGCAGATTAGTTTTAGTTATTAACGAGAAGCAAAAAGCATGTTAAGTCCATCATCAAAAACGTAAAAAATAAATATAATACAAAGTTTAATATAATCAAAGAAATTGAAATCATTCTCGTATAAGTAAATAAAAGATAAAAAAGCCAATTAATATGTCTCGCATTCTCAGTAAGAAAATGAAAAAAGATGTCAGTTGAACCCAAGAGGGGAGAAATCGCAAATTAATCGGGCAAGTGAAAAGTTTAGAAGAAGAGACTGGGGAAAGAGAATAATAAAAATTGTAAGTAATTAAACATGACTGACTATTATCAAATATTAGGAATAAGCAAGGACGCAGCCCCGGACCAGATAAAAACAGCCTACCGACAATTAGCCCTCAAATGACACCCGGATAAAAATCTCAATAATCGTGCCGAAGCCGAACGAAAGTTCAAAGAAATTGCTGCGGCTTATGAAGTTTTATCTAATCCGACGGCTCGGGCTGAATACGATAAAACCGGTTCGGCACCGTCGTCATCAACGGGTTTGGGAATTGGTGGTGGTAGTGTTACATCAAGTTTGCGTTGAAAGGTTTATTTAGACATTGCGGTTCCTCTCGGCAAGATTGGTGTTTTAGAAAAAGATTTTGCTTCTGAAAATCCGAATTTGTTTAATCATAGTGGAGGCTGTGAAGGAAAAGGAGAGAAAGATCTTTTTATCCATGCCATGGTTTGCTTAGATACTTGACAGGAAGCCGAGGATTTTAGGAATCATGCTTTGGGAATTATTAATAATTATGTATCCGAGTTAAACAATTTTAAGGAGGAAGTTATCCGGCGTATTGAGGCTTACGCAGAAAAGTTGAGTGCTGGAGACAAAAAATGATTTGAAACTGCTAGCTATGCAGCCGCTTCAAATTGAAAAGAATATCTTCGTAATAGTGTAACTTTTGGAAGTAAAACACAAGTAACTATTTTTGAAAATAATATGAAAAAATATATTGACGATTTGAAGAATAGCGATATAAAAAGTGAAGAGAAAAGACGAAAATGACAAGAACAATTTGCCAACGGGGGAAAGGGCTTTCAATATCCAAGAGACAAGTCCGGAAATGATAATCATAATGACTTACGCCAACTCATAATCCAAACCGAAAATGAAATAAGCACTAAACTCAATACGGCGGGAGTATCCGACTCCGATTTAGATTCTTCTCTCTGGTCGCCTTATAATTTTTGGCAAAAAAAATTACATAGTTCTAACCAAACTAGCGAAGTAAATGATTTCAAAAATAAAATGTTTGCGGCCATTGACGAAGCCCAACAAAAAAAGAATAATCAGAATGGAACCGGACCCAATGGTCCAACACCAACTCCTA